AAAAAAGATTTTAAGTTCGTTTTTAAAAAATACTTTCAACTTCAAAATTTTATTTTTTTACCCCAACCCTCGACCCCTCCCCACCCACCTCCGAAAAAAAATTTAAGTTTGTTTTTAAAAAATATTTTCAATTTCAAAAATTATTTTCTACTCTAGTTAAAATAAAAGACATTTTTCATTCATAAATCAAACACTAAAATCTTTTCCGGAAAATATTTCTACTCACCAACCAAACATGAGAAAATAAGTCAAAAATCAACTTGTTTTCCAGGAAAACATTTTCCTTCATACCAAACACACCTTAAGTATGCTTCTTTCAGAGCTTGACATTGCTGTTGCTTCCAGGCAGGCATCTTACCGGGGAAAGCCCACCTCATCAACCTTTCCCAGGCATAACACACCAAAAACGTAACCAGTGGCCAAACTAGCAGTTTATCTGTTAACTCCCTTGGTCTAACTAAGTTCAACCAGTCATTTAAATCTCGAGACAAATTACAGGTAATAATTGTGAAGCCCATGGCAGCCAAAAGCATATAAGAAGCTCATTTTCTGGTATGCTCCAGTTGAAAGGGTGGCCCTTGTACTTCACAGCAAAGGTTGTTACCTGTATCATCACTCCCATCATGTATAAATGTATCAACAAAAATTGGGTAAAAATCAGAGTCTGGCTCAATTCAGCAGGAGGAAGAGGACGCAGAACCAGAAAATATTAGGATGTGCTCCCTTAGCTGACAGGGTTGGAAAGGGATGAGCTGTGAGATAAACAAAAAGAAGAAATCAAACACGAAGTACTATTAGTGACAAGTTCATTTCCAAAACCTGAATTTGATCTTTCAATCAAGGCATCTTTGCTATCAAATGATCCTCGCTTAAAAGGTATTATTATTCTTGAATGCATCCCAAGTGGAACTGCATCAACAATATTTGGAGTTTCACAAATTCACAGTTAGATGATTTCGTAAAAACATTTTTTTTCCAAGTTTGCAGGTAACATAACAAAAATCAACATCTAAGAACCTGTATTCTAGTATGAGAACTAAGACCTATGAAATTAAGATGACTGATTTTGATTTTAGAAGTTATCTGTGATGTACGGTAGATGGCCTGGGGAGGGCACTGAAGGAAGAGATTTTGCTAGCAAAGGCTGAGAATGGAGGTCAAGCAGTGGCCCAACGCTGTAATCATGCATTATCTTGAAACAAGAAAAATGAAACATACAGGTAAATTGAAAATACAAAACAGACTGTTAATCTAGTTCTTAACTGCAGATGTTCAAAACAGACAAAGGTTCAACAAAATTTTGTTAGTGCAGCTAGATACTGTTCACATATTTCCACACAGGAGGATAATAAGTTATGAGTATTTTGAGCAGGCCATAGAAAATAACTATCTGTTTCAATTTTAGCCAAACATTTAGGTAAATGCTATAAATACCGTAACATGTGTTAAAACACATTTATTTTGCAAAAAAATGCAGTAACAGAAGCAAAAATGGAACAAAATTTACCTTTTACTATCATGTACTAGATCATCAGCATTTGTCTGATCAGCTAGCAGTTGCAAAATAGTGTGTCCATCTCTCTCCAGAGTATTCAACTTATTGCACCCAAAATATGGGAGCATTTTATGTTCAATCTCTAACCAACTAACAGCCTGCTCTTTCCTAACATGTCTCTCATTCATAAGCTGTCTCACTTTCTCTACATTTTCCCACATTCCAAGTACACCATAAATACTTGACAACAGCAAATATGCGGCAGGAGACTGTGGGTCCAGCTCTATTA